TGTCTCACTGAGTACCAATCACCCTGTATATGTGTGTGTCCGTTAAAACAAAAACTTAAGCAGAAATGATCCAAATTTCATGGAATTTGGTACAAACGTGTACAATTTATTTGAACGAGTTCACGAACCAGCATGATTGAACTATGGGAACGGGCTTCCCATTATTGACCCTAAAAACTAACAAATTTTGTAATTTCTGGTTTAGAAAACCATTTTGTAGAGCTAAAAGAAAAATAATTTAGCATATTTTTAATATAACAAAAAAAATTTTGTATTGAAACGTTGTTATGCGCTTATGGCTACGGAGAAATAATAAAAGCTGAAAATTTAAAACTCTTATGTTATTCTTATGGATAATAAGTAAACTGTTGTAATTTGCTTGTTTATGAACATATTTTTTTGTCAATTAAAAAAAAATAGATATTTCATACTAAACTATTAACATTTTACACTCACACAAAAACCACTTTTTACCCTCCCTGTTTCAGTAAACCTAAGTACTCGTTAAACCAATGCTATTTAAGTAGGTAATAAATGTGATATTTTTTAAGGAGATATTTTATAATAAATCCAATTAGGCAAACGGATATTCGCTTTGTCTGCAGGTTTGCTGCAGAGTAAGTATTTTATTTATAGTATTTTTTTTGGCTGGTGTACTGTTATTAGAGTAAAATGTCTATTGACGATTTTGCAAGATAAATCATTTATCGAATTACTGCAATTTGGAAACTCTAGCTTATTTCCTTACCCTGCGAGTAGATCAAGATGCAAGACACATTCCACATCGTCATCCTAGAATGCTGCATATCTCATGCAAGGCCAGCATTTTGAAGCCTGTTATGAATACGAACACCTCATATACATATTCATGCAGCATACGTCTATATAAACATTGATTAACCTATTTCGGCAAGGCCTCGAAAGGATCTTGTATATAAATATCTGAAACCGTATCCCCTTAGAATTCTCAGCATGTGTGTAGAACTTAAATCATACAAAATAGTACACAACATTCAGAATGATTTTGCAAAAAACAAAAGTTGAAATGAGAACTGGAGCTTGTCCTTTTTCGCAGATAGTTACACATTCTAAGATACACATTGGATAAATATAATTTAGGGTTTGTTTCTACATATTTTTTTTAATTTTGCTAGGTTGTTCACAACATTTTCGGTAATGTTAGTGACATTTTGGTAAAACTAAACACCTTTGCCCCAGTAGACGTAGAAACTAAACGGATTTCTAGCTACTTCATTAAACGTTTAAAGGAAATTCACACATAGAACTAGAACACATAGAACATCTACAAGCAGTATAAATGGCAAATAGTTAGCAAACCAATTTAAATAAATTTTACTTTATAAGTCAGATTTAAATTCCATTAGAAATAAATTACAAGTACTATAACGAATGAAATGTGCTACTAAAATACCTTAAGATAAAAAAAATACAATCCTTGGGGAAATATGCTTCACCAGACCACTTATAACGTGTGTTAATTACGTGTAGAAGTATTGGCTAAAAACGGTAGCCTATACAGTATAACTTTTAAAAGTAAGGACTTAAAAGCCTAAGAAACTGCTGTGTTTTTGAAATTGGAAAATAATTATTACCATTTTCAAGTGCTAATCTCCTTTGATAATGTTTCACAGAATTTTGAACTTAAGAAAAAAAAATTAATTAAAAATAACTTCTGTACAACTACTACAATAACTACTGTTTTTTGGTCATGAACATGAACTTGAAGGAAATAAATGTAATTAGTGAAAAACTCAAGAAGAAATTCTTCCCCAGATAAAATTTCAAGTTAAAGAAAACAATTGTAGACAAAAGGACTGCAGCCATTTCAGACATTTCATTACGATTATAATGAAAATTGCTTTTGTCAAACTGAACTAATTATCTCAATAGTTACAACATTTTAAATTTAGTTCTGTTTATCTTAACAATGATATAATCAGTAGTTAGTGTATGGTCTCTATGTGTACAATAAAGTAAGTGTTAACAGTAGTCTAAAAAAACAGCTAGTACCCGGTCAATATACCGAGTGCTCTTTAGGTGGATGTTTTCAAAAATACAGATAGGGTTTTAAAGTGCCTTTCAACGAAACTACGATAAAAATTAATATCAATTCACTTAGCCATTTTTAATTTAATAATGGGAAAGTTTAAAAACTTACATATTTCACTTACCCCCACTAAAGCAAACCTGCAGACTAAAGGAATTTGTATTTACCTGGTTGGGATTTAACTAAAATATTTCCTTAAAATAATTATATTGATTTTTTTATTTCAAAAACATTAATGTTTATAAGGACTTAAATTTTCTTCTAAAAGGTAAGTTTTTTTATTTCAATGTTTATAGCTTAGTATGGAATTAATACATTTTTCAAATATTATGTAAATCTATTCCTAAACGTACTACAACAATTGATTTATTTATTTTCCGTGAAAACAACATAGGAGGTTTAATTTTGGGTATTTGGAATTTTCTCCAAAACCATTAGACACAACAAAACTTCCATATATCACAACATTTGTTTTAAGTTAAAGTTCTTCATCGAAGAATAGAAAAAATTGCACAACTGTATATTTTAGGGGTCAAAATGGAAAGAAATGTTATCCCGTAAAACACCGTTTGCATAGCCTTATCATGCTGGTTAGTGAACTAGTTAGAATAGAAGTATGAAAACACTATTCATGCTCTCACCCCGGGTTTCAACACGGAGCTACCAGCCCGGCCCATCCAAAATACTCTCATGATACACACACAAGTATAAATACATACTAGCTCATAAACAAACATAATATAAAAAATATTAAAACAAATAAAAATGTTTTGTTCAAATTATAGTTGTTTATTATATATTATTTAATTTGAAAACAAATCAAATGTATTTAAACTATATGTACTTGTAACATATATTAATAAGGTAATGGATATGAGTTTTCCTCTCAAATAGCTTGCAGCTAGAGAGGTATAGTATACAAGGCGCTACAGTTTAAAGCAAATTTTCGCATGCGAGATAATAATCAAATTGAACTTGATTGAAATTATTATTATTATTAACATCCTAGGACGCTATGTTCTAGCTTGGAACTGTTTAACACATTACTTCAGGCTAGTCCTAGTGTATTAAAATCCATTACTGATTGGTGGGATTTTAACCCGGGACTTCACGCCCCTCTACCACTAGACCAGCTCGCTCCTCCTAGCATCATAGATGTATTAGTAGACGCTCCACTATACATTTTTCCACAATCAAAATTGGATTATTACATACCAAAACGACCCCTTGATATTTAAATTTAAAATGCCAAATGAGTAAACGTGTCGGAACTTTGATCATGCTGTACAATAATACTTTTATTTAAAAAATATTACACAAAAAACAACAAAAACCTAAAATATTTAAACGGCTAGGCTACAATGATAAGCAATAAAAACCATGATGATATTGAAACGCTTAAGCCTTTAATCTCAAAGTTTTGAGCTCTTTGTGGAGCTTAAAGTAAAAGATTAAAACTGCCAGAAGGGATTTTACATGTTAAAGGATTATCTAATGTCATATAATTTTGTGTTGTTTTCCCCTACCGTAAGGGTAAATTTAGCAAATGGAGTTCTGAATTCTAACGTAATTATGTTTAGTATTACCATTTGCACAATGGTATATTTCATTTATAAGGTTTAAGTGAATATTTTGACACAAGCTCATGTGTAACGACTTTTGGACCATGGGATTAAATAAACTAGATTATTCATCGTCAAACGGCAATAAAAATTCTAGATTCTTCTAAATTATTTCAGCTCATTAAAAATTAGCTTTTATTAGATAAAGAAAACAAATGTTTTTGGTCATGACAATATTTAGTTTTTACACATTTCTTTCAAATTTTCTAACTTACTGTGTTTTGGCTGATCTATAATTATATTAATAAAATAAGTTTAATATATTAATCCAGATAAACACGTATTTACCGGGAACCTACAAAACACAGTAAAATAAACATTTGTTAAAATAATCAAGTTAAGTAATAGTGTTCAATTTGTTCAGAATATTACTGAGAACTTTTTTTATGCCACTAATATTTCAGTATTGTTATGTTCTATCCAAGAATATCTATTATTTCTATAATAAGAATATGATAACACTCAATGGTTAGAAATGTGTAATGTGGTGATGATTTTTGTTACTGATATTAATCCTTTATATTGTATAAATTTTCATACTGAAGAAGATAGGTTAAAAGAAGAACAAAATTGATATTAAATTGTCAATAAATTTATTTAGGAAGACCACTTTCATACGACAATGTATTGTAAATAAACTTATCAAGCCATCCCGTTTCGAATGAAATACTCATAAACAAAGTTATTACAATTAAATACTCTTTATGTACCATGGGCAATAGGTAGGAGAGCATTTGAGTGAAAATTGGGCAGATAAATAAGATAGATTCCAGCTACAATTAACTCATGAACTCAATAAACCATTCCACTGGACTAAAGCTTAAAAATACCCAAAAGGGCTGCTTACCAAGCTTAAGTTGACAAGAAATTACAATGTTGGCTAAAAAAATTCTAAAGATGTTTAACTATGTAAATTAATTGCTCATATAAAATATCAAAATCTTGGCTTCATTATCCAAGGAGCCAACAAATAAAAAATATAAATTCCCTCAACATTATTTCAAGGCTGTTGGATAGCCTTAAACTTTTTTACTTATCAACATTTAGTAAAATATATTATTTTGTGAATCAAATCTTGTACAGGTTCAAATCTTTCTCTTTTGCTTTGGATCACTCAATTGCGCTGTTTATGCTGTTTTAATGTCTTCTTGCTCAGTTCGTTTATCGTTGAAGTAGAAGAACCATGTTAGAATGTATTTCCGATCGATTTATTTAAGTGCCGACATTCATAAACACGTTACTGTCAAGTTATTGACAATACATGTCTGGCATGCATTCTTTTAGCTTTGACGATCAGCTGTTTTGTCCTGTCAGCTGGCATTGTTCTCCAGCTGATTATCATCTGATTGTTGCAACTGCGGAACCAAATTCAGCCAAAAGGAAAGACGATGAGCCCTGTAATGGTCTTTCATCTTTGATCTGGTGTCTGAAACAAAATTTAAACTTAGATAAACAATATCAATCCTCAAACACACACAAGACAATATCACTAGGGTAACACACCCACTGCATTTTTAAGCTGCAAGAGTTATTAAAACTGAAACGTGACCTACTTCTTACAAATCTTGTAAAAAAAAATAATGATTTTCAATAATTATTTTAAAAACGTATTTATTGGCATACACGTTTTTTGTAAGGATGCGGGCTACCCTGGTCGGGTTACTAACTAACGTTGTCCATGAAAACAAACCCTTCTTAAGTTCATAGATGCAATAAACTTTTATTGTATTTGGGTTTATAGTATTTTTTTCATAGATTGTCAACACTAATTCTTTAACACAAATTCATACATTTGTAACGAACTAATGACATTAAATAGATACAAACATGATATGTGTCAACGAAACGAAAATCGTCTTTTTATTTCTCTAAAATATTTTGATAAAAATGTTTTTGAATATAAACGTACAATAAAATAAGTTTGGAAAAATTCAGTGAAAATTATGACATTGTGGTCATAATTGTTGCCCATTTCAGAAAATACTTTTGCGTACAATTCATGTAAGGGATATTGTGTATAGTTGAATAAAATATTTAAAAATGTGTTAGATTAACACACTAATTCATTTAATAATTTATAAGAAGCATATTGTTCATTGTATCCCTTGAATACAATGTTTATAGAAATAATAGGCCTAAGCTTAAAAGGCTTTAGAATAATGCATGAAAGAAAATATGTGATTACGGGAAGAGACAAAAACGGCTATTATTCATTCACTTTGGTGAAAAGAGAGCAGGTTCTTTCTTTGTAAGTATCTTTGTGTTATTCTATTCTTTCAGCTTCTGTAGAAAGAGGTTTTAAATAAAATTATAAACAAAATATTTTGAAAATGAATTTGTAGCAATGCTTGGATATCATTTTTCTTTGCAAATATTTATAGACCACATCAATATTGTAATACTAATCAAATTTACTTTAATTCGTAACCTATCCTACCAAATTTACCAAAGGTAAGGGATTTTAATGGCTTTAGGTATGTTGAGGTCCAACCCACATTTACTTAACAACAGTTATTCAATAAATTCTCAGTATTAAATTCATTGTAATAAATGGGAGTAAGCTGATGTAACTTGACCTTTTTTCCTTTTACAAGTCATTTTTCTTTATAAATACTCACCTAACATCATATACCTCTTGTGAAGCTTGTCATAGGGTAGCCAGGCCAATCGGTGAGATCTTCTGTGCTTCGAATGATTCTGATGGTCTGCTCTGTTGGGATCGCTGCAAAAAAGTTTTATAATTAAATTGGCTAAGAAATTTGGATGAATAGTAAAATATAAGCTCAGTAGTCTGAATGGAAATATGAGTTGTGGAAGTTATTAAATATTTATGTCAAGTGCTACTACTAAGTCTGACACTACTTGACTTCAAAACACCTAGATAAAAGGGATATATTTGCACATTTTAGTGAATTTTTCTAGAGGCGTTTAGTATTTTACATAAATATTTTTATATTTCAATTTTAGAACCGATCTCAATTGAACTGGGTGTCTATTTTAAGTAAAAGACGCCTATTTTATCAATAATATTAAGTTGGCCCAATTTTAAATTTCAAAATGACTGCTGTTTTAAGTTAAATATCTTAAATTACAAATAAATAATAAATTTCATGAAAAAATACCAAGACAAGTTTTATTTAGCATTTTAAATTCCCTAACAACTTGGTAACATATTTTATAAAAGGATCCAACAACAAAAATATAAAATATCATGTTTTTTAGTATACAAATTAGGAAAAATGTAGCACTCCAAGTCCATCGTAGCCTAAATAGACTATATTTATTTTAAATATATTTAGATTTTTTAAATGTAAGAAGGTATACACTTTAAAAACAAATTATATAGCCACGGTAGTTTGAAACACACATACACCTTTGTAGATTGGCTAGGAAAATTAAATTCCTTACTCGAATTCAAAGAAAATAATTTTAACCCCCTAAGTAAAAATAAGCTTTGTTTTTAAAATAAATAACTATTTTACAAGGCAGATCTAAATAACCGCATTATTCTGTTAAGCGCACTATTTCCGTTGAGGAACACGGGCAGCAGCTAGTCATATATCTCAATAGCTTAGCACATGTTAAGTTCACTTAATACACCGAAACTTACCCAGTCTTGACAAAGTTGGCCACATACGAGACGAAGGTCTGGGAAAGATGAAGTTCAGCCTTGGTTAGGTTGCGGCTGAGAAAGTCAGAGTTGGGGAACAAGTAGCAAAGCTCCTCCCCGTGGATACTGCCTAACTGCTGCAAAATCGTACAGTAAATTGGAAAATGAGCAAGTTATTTAGTTTACAGTAAAATACAAAATAATATATTCATTGTACTATAGAAAAGTTTTTACGTTTATCAAAAGAGAAGAGATAAAGAGAAGTCTTATTGGGTAATTTAATATATTTCTTACGTTTGACTGCATCGTTGAATGTTAGAGATAAGCTGTACATAAGCATTTTTTAAACATAACTGTAGACTGTAGACCTCTTTGACCAAACGACTCTTTGATCAACTTTGATAAAAGCCAGTAGCTTTTTGATGGTTCGAAACTGGACTCAGCTGACCCTGATGATTGGGCATTAAATAAATGATCATGACTGATGAAACAAATAAGCTACAAAGCTACACAGATAATCTCCATTCTACACTCATCCATCACTCACATTTGGGTTAAAATTTAAAATACGCACATAGGTGACGTCCCAATCTCAATTGATAATGATAAACGAAAAACAAAAATTGAAATATAAGATGTATAATATGAGACCACATATAACAACTTCATATCTTCGTTATATTGATTCTAAATCAACATATTATGACTAAACGGAGCGAAAGTAGTATAATTTGCAATATTCGGTAAATGTATAAAATTGATACAATGGCAATTTATTTGAGCCCGTTATACCAGTTGTTGGCTACAGTAGTAATAGAGATCAATGGAAAAGGACTAGACTAACCTTGGAGTAGTCGCTGGCTCTCGTCTGGTGGGAGAAGAGGTACATGTAGCTACCGCCAGAATGCGCCTCCGCCGCTCGCACCAGTGGCGCTGCCACACGGCCATCGCTCAAAGCTTCCTCTGTGTCTCGTAGTATGTTAGCGGGGTGTTGTACCGGACGCTCCCAACTAGTATACTCATTGACTAGAGTAGCTAGTATCTCCGCTGTGTGATATCTGGAATAGGTTTATTCCAATATTTAAGGTGCACGCCTTTGTTCTTGGCCTAACATAAAAATATCACAAGATTATGTAGCTGGGTATCTGAGTAGACCCAAGTAGCAAAAATCGTTGGCCCAACGTTTCTGTCGATCGTTGGCCAACGGTATGTTTTGGCACTCAGTCTTACGGTTGGCAAACCAACCAATTTTTGCGGAAGGGCCAACCATCCCATTGGGCATAAACATAAAAAACACAAAATAATAAAGATTTTGTATGCAAAGCATAATTATGAGTTGAGTAAATTGATTAGATAGTTCATAAAAACTTATTTTGAAAATAAAACGAAATAAAATTTTTGGCCGGGACGGGTCTCGAACCCGGTACCTTCAACATGTGAGCCTCACGCCTTACCTCTGAGCTAACCGTGCTTGTTGATTAAGAGTGTTTTCAAGTGGTGAAAGAGTAGCCGACAGGTGCAATGGTCACAATTAATACTTTAAATATTTTTGATGCTACAGTATAATATGATTCTGTTAATCTGTTTAGGCCTCAAGTAGCTGAATTGTTTTTCTGGTAGTTGGAGAGGATACTAGTATTTGAATATAGATTATTTAATTTCCATTAGATTAGTAGGCTACTGTTATAATTGATTGTTATATAATTAATTAATCTTTTATCTATAACTATTAAAAACTTGCTTAAATAAGTTAAAGAATATTACAAAAAAAATAATTATAATAATTATTATATGTTAAGCACGGTGTGACGAATAAAAAAAGTAATATATCTAATCTAATAATAAACGTACAAAGTTTAAAGTTTGTAGATTACAAGTACACTTGTACAATGTTTAATACATCGGACATTGGGATAGACATGTACACATTAGAATCTATATTAATATCCGTTTCGTTAACCTTTGGGTAGGGCATTAGCATTGATAGAATAAATTGAATGGAATACAAATGTAATACTAGTTCCAAGTGTAGGAACTTCCTTGGGCAGTTTTCCCAACTTTCTGGCAGTGGTACCTAGCATACGTAGCGACAGTGATTAGAAACTGCATAAATATGTTAGTCATATCAATAATATTGGCTTCTTCTGGGGAAGATATATGTCAGTGGGTAGTATCATTGACTATATACCAGTCAATGGTAGTATTTAACTCAACGAATAAAAAAAACGAACGTACGATTCAATGGGCATTGCCGATAAACGCCGCGTAGATGGTTTCTCTCGAAATGATCACGATAGCTACCAATTATGCGTTCTAAATGACCAAACCTGCCCGCGGGGGTCGCACCCTTCCACCCACGAGATACACATTGATGCGAGTCAAACAGGATACTTTCCATTTGCGAAATCTTCGAAGAATTGCCATCGGCATGAACTTTTTTAAGGCTTTTCCTCACCATTTTTATGTCCTGCCATAAAACAAATAAATCATTTAAGTTTGTAAGGCTAATATACCAATTAAATTCACCTGTAAGTTTCATTGACAAAAGATTCAAGTAGATGGATCTTCTTATCATTTTCTATTCCAAAAAGTAGGTCATACTCTGAGAAATAGAATAACGCCTCTGCCCTGACCAGACCGAATAGCATATCGTATTTTTTAGAGCCCCTGGTCAAGTTTTCTTCTCTAGAAGACCTACGCAAATGGTGGTTCTTCATGCGGTGAGACTTTTCTGTAAAAAGTAAAACATAATTTACACAATTTTGACTCAAGTAACATAACACATAAGTTTAATCATTTTTAGTGCATACAGACTGACGTGCCATGAATAATCACTAATCATTTAATCAAAAATCTAATGTATCTTTGGTAATAACTTTGGCTAAGCTTCTACTTTATTATACATCTTAACTACCAGCCCCATTATTGAACTGTTTAAGAAATTAAATTTAGTTTGGTAAGAAGGTTTGTTATTGTCAACCATAAAACATCAAATTGTGTTGTTAAATCTAGTTTATTCAATGACCTATTTTATTATAATCTTCTTATATATCAAGGAGAGCCCCATATTTAGTCAACTATACTAGAGTAAAACAATTTAACATATTTTACTCAAAAGTATTCCAGTACAGTATTTTTCCTAAATTAAAACGTCCTCTTTTACAAAAAACCTGTTTTTAAATTGGTTTTGATCAATCCAAATTCTTGAGATTATTGTCCAAATTTACAGTTAGCTTTTTCGTAAAAATACTTTTGCATCTCATTGGTAAGAAATAACAAAAAATTACCTCGGAAATAGTTTTGGCTGCTGACCACTACCACCCCGTCCTCCACCGGACCGAAGGGTGTGGCAAACGTGGAAACAGCCACAGGTACAGACAGCAGTGACTCTAGAGGAGTCTCCCGCAGACAGTGTGTCAGCCGATGGTCCAGAGGACAGTTGAGGTGACGGGCTGTGGCGAAGACGACCTCCTGGGGGTTTCTGACTGGAGGGTGGGCAGCCCCGGACATCATGATTACGCGGTGGAACAGAGAACCTAAGGAAGACTGGAATTATCAATGCTGTGTATACCGAGTGAAACCTCCTGTACACATGACCAGGGTGATGTCACGCACTTTTTAACATGATTTTGAATTTCATGGCCCACCTCCAAAAATCCAAGTCATATTCAAACTAAATAAGTAGTTAGACCAAACGTCTTTTATCACACGAATATCCCATGTTTTATGTGTTAAAACCCATTCCACGTATGTTTTCTATTTTATTTTTAACATTTTGCTGTTGTGTTTTCCCCAACAGCATTTTATATATGTTTGTATTGGATCAGTATAAAACCCTGGGTTTTTACCATCAATCATCATTAACTGATAGCCCTTTGACAAATGACATCTGGGTCCAGGGTCCAGTATCGACCCTACTTTGGATAGGACTAGTTGCCCTCAGGTGAGCATTACCACACAACCACCAAGACAATCCTTGAAGACAAGATATTACCATACTGAACGGACGGTGACATCATCAGCCAGTGGACGCACTCTGCCCCGCTCCCATGGCCTGCTAGGGTAACCGCCTCTGGGTCACCTCCAAACCCAACGATGTTCTCTTTCACCCAACGAAGCGCCGCCACCAAGTCCTGCAGTCCAAGGTTGCTATGTCGCCCGATGGGCAGAAAACCTAGAAATCAGTGTGATGGAGTATTAGTTCTTTGTGACTACTGTAATCTTCAAGTATTCTACAAAGTTCTAGTATGTTTTGGATAATTTTCCTGTTGATGATATAGTGTCTCAAAGGATAACAGTAAACATGGTAATTGAAAATCCTTACAAATAACGTAACATATTCCTTTAAAGCATGTAAAGGGCTTTTAATGATATCATATTTCATGTGTGGGTAACTACAATATTATATAACTGTAATATTAATACCCATTACACTTTTTATCAAATTGGTTTTATATTAGTATTAATCAATAATATAATATGCTGATAAAGGATGAAACTCACTCGTGTCTACGTAGCTATTGCGAAAAATAAAAACGTATTTATCAATAGATAGATAACAGCAGTTAGTTAGATTAACAGCATACAAAAATAATATTATTCTTACTTTTATTGTACTATTTAAACTATACCCTACTTTCAATCCACATTAAAAACATAGAGAAAAATGACAAAACTTATAGATAAAAGTGTTATGATACAAAAATATCATGTCATGCGATAAATACGCATATTAGCGTCACAATAGTGAAGATTCTATCATAATCCATCATGAAGACGCTATAACAATAAGGGCTATTGCATTGGTAGGCTAAAAAAACACAGTTATGGGTTATTACGGAGAGCCAGGTGGGACCACAACTTTTGTGAACCACGCTTGAAGAATTGATGACTAGTGCTGCGATCTCCTCAGACGAGACGATAACTACGTGGTCCTCATCGCCGCGCAGTACATAGTTTTGGTCTCTTATTGTGTCATAGAGCGGGCAGTCTAGTAAGCTAATAGTGAATGTCACTAATGCAACTTACCTAGTACTCCCAATCTGTAGTTGACTGTCACCACGACTATTCTCCCTCTACTAGCAAGCATCGTACCGTCGTACAAGTGTACTCCTCCCCATTGAAATGTCACTAATGCAACTTACCTAGTACTCCCAATCTGTAGTTGACTGTCACCACGACTATTCTCCCTCTACTAGCGAGCATCGTACCGTCGTACAAGTGTCCTCCTCCCCATTGAAATCCTTCACCGTCCACAAACACCATCACAGGGTGTCTGGATTTTGTTGAAGCTGTGAAAAGCCAGTTTTAAGTTGAAGGGATTCACTTTAATAAATGAAATTTGTATAAATACATACGAAGAGATATAGATATTTTCACCACCCTTACTACATATTCCCTAGAAGGAAATGTTTAGTGGTCATTAATGTTCTGATCATTAACTTATATTTTTATATGTATTGCAATCACTAAACAAGTAACAGTACTTTGAAATTGTCAAATTAAATGAAAAATAAACTATGCGTATCTTAATTAATACTTGAATGGCATAGACATTTATGAAGTTGTAGTTTATATAGGCATATTGTTTGATTACCTCCGTGCTAGTTGTCAGGAACATAAGTATAATTAAAATTGCTTCCAATTGAAAATTATTGGAATGCCACTCAACTTTTCTCTTCATTGTGAAATTGGCATTCTGATTTTTACACTATTAATTTAATCATTAAATGTTAGTGACTAGAAAAAACAGTTTTTACAAGTCACACTTGTACTAAAGTGGTCAACGAATGACTCCTTTTGAACACTGGAACACAAGACACGAGATCTCCTAGCTACATACGATGACACAATTTAAACCAAAACCAGTGATTAATGTAAATTAAATAGATGTAAAAATCTGCATGAAGTAATCATGGTTTTAGTGGAAACTAGTTTCAGGTTGAATCATCAACAGGCCTACAAAGAGTAAAAGCTATTACTATATTTGTATGTCAACCGTTCTACTGTTATGAAACAGGGAGAAGATACCAAGACTACCTTGGCCACCAGTAAAGACTTTCACTTTGATCGTGTCAATTTTTAAATTCTTGTCTACTTTTTTATTAAACTTTTCTGACGACCTAATAACCTTTAATATTTTTTTTTCATATTCATATTGGTGTGCAATTTAAAACGAAGTGTGGCAACTTTTAATTAAGTGGTTATGTTTTACTCTTTGTATACCCTAAACCAATTATTTGTCACTATAGCAACCTATGACGTTATGTAGGTAAACCATTACCTAGACAACTGTAACCCAGACCCTAGACAACAATCGAATATACAGTAAACACTTCCCGTGTTGAAGTGCTCACAATCTCCACCCACCCACCTTGCAATGGTGCGTAGATGTTGAGAGTCAGGCAGTCTTCGCTCTGAGCTCGCAAGGAGGCTGAAGCTGCCTGTAGATGCTGCATACCTCTGTTGGTCTCCGAGGCCAACGTCTGAGGACACGCTGGACTGAAGGCAGTCGCCGGCCTCACTCGCGACCTCGGATGGAGAGCTTCTGGAGGGGAGAACCTCACGACCTTGGCGTACGGCAACCCTCGAAACATCTAAGATACATTTCACAATTTAAAATACTTGAGTTGTTTTATGATTGAACGATAAGCTTTATAAGAACTAAAATGAGATTCCAAATTATGTTTCATGGTAGGTTTGATACTAGGTATGTAAACAGAATCGGTTTCATCTGCGAAATATCGTCTGCTAAGTAGTACAAAGAAAAACTTGTTATCTTATATTCTAAGGTGATAGCCGAAACCTATAATAACCGCAAAATAAATCCAATATTCTCTTATTCTTAGCACTGGTATAATTTATTCCAATAAATATATATTATTCCAGCTGTCCATACCTCGACGTCTGCTCCAGTGACAACAAGTCCGGACACTGGACCTTGTGACGTCATCACGACCCTCCCTAGTCCCCTGGGCATCAGTCCCAACAGAGTATAGAAGACGAGGGTCCAATAGCCTTGTGCCGTACTAGTCATCGTGAGTCACATGTTTCTGTGGTCAATTCTTACGGTACACAGCTGACGTATTTAAATGGCAAAGATTTTTCAGGCTGGACCACCTTGAGTATTTTCCTGTAACAAAACGTTACGTTATTGAATGCTGTGAGATCGAAAGAGGTGTAATACATGTTTTCTGTTTCCTCCTGAATAAACATGTTGCTAAGGACTGTATCCACTCACCTACTTAGTTATGAAGTGCAGTACAACTTATAGATTACCTATCCTGTTAGTCAAGTATAGCCTAAACGCATTGAGTCGTAAGGTACCAACTTGTAATTTGGGTAAAAACGTACTGCTACACCAGAACTTACAGTTTTCATTCACGATAGCCTGCTCTTAGGCCTATGTGTTGGCCATAGCTTGGGCTATGGGCCAAAGAACGTAGGCCTAAGAGTAGGGTATAATAGCTATCAATATAAACTTTATGATGGTGTGCAATTGATATCTTTGTAGCTATAATATATTTTTCGTGAAATAAACTTTATGTTGACGTCTTTTAGTAAACCTGTAGTAAATCTTTTTAGTAACTTAAACTTGTACAATTTAAAATAGTGAAAATGAGCAAGTATAGGCCTACTTTTGTTTTTGGAAACTGAAAAGCATCTAATGCTCTGTATATTGTAATGGTAGAATGGAGTAAGGTTATATTTGCAGCATTTTCACTAGATACACGGTTGTATCTTTGGTCAAGTTGATTTATAAGTCCAATTATCAAACATAGCTGGGTCCAGTTTTGAACCATAACATATCTACTAAATTTTCTCATGGTCTAACTTGTAACTCTAAAATTTTAAGCGTCAATATTTTTAGATTTTGAAACTACTTACGTTACTTTGTTCCAAGTCTCAGCATTTAGCAAACATTTAACATAATTATGGTGTTACCTACCTTCTTTCTTTTTTTTCAACTAACTCCTTTTACATTTCTCATTTACTGTTTCGTAACATCGGCTCTTATTTTAATGACTTAGCCATCTTTGATTCACCTTCTCTCAACTTATTTAAAATCAGTGTTAAAGAATTCCTACTAAATCTAGGAACGGGCGAGGCCGAAGTTATCATCTCAGCTGATTACCGGCGTGTTTGACCTGACCCTTGCTGTGCTGTCCCTCCCCCACCAACCCCCCAGCCGACAGCCGTGCGCACAGCTCCTGGCCGACACAACTGTATGGACACAACACAACTGTAATTTGCTCCCACATAAATTATCTATCACTCATTTCGTGTCAATTTCATATCATTCATCTCCAAGAAAAATTCAAAAAATTTTTTTTCCGTTTTTTATTTAATCTCCGTTTAGATTCCCAATCAACAGGTCATTAAACTCTATATGCAATCCAGCAGTCGCACAGGCAGAGTTCGTCTATGCCTGCTGATTCCATTAGACCAATTAATTATAACTAGCTATAAAGTTATAAGTTATTATGTTCGTAAGCTAGTTTTGTATAATTCAACATTAAGTTCACAACTTTGTAAATGTTTTCTGTTCTTGATTTTTTTTTGTAAACTTAATATTATAGTAAAAATGTAAACATTGTACTTTGTAGCAAATTTAACGGAATAAATAATTCATTCATTATTTCATTCACTTACATTTAAATAAAAACTAATGTCATAGTATTGCCTGTACAATATACTAAATATGTAGTTCAGTAATTATGAAAATTTACAGATACATTTTAATGTATAAAATGTAATGCTTAATAAATAAATCCGTGTTGCCAACTTAGAACCTCGTGTTATGCCATGGGGCAGTAGGACTGTAGGCTGTTGATTTTAAAATGTGAAGGGGTTGTGCTTGACATACCAAGGGTTGTTCTTGATGCTGGTAGAAAGGGGTTTTCTTACTTGGGGCCGGCTCAGTACAATGCACATCCTTGTACACTAAAAGCACTGTCTTGCAAAAAATTTAAAACTCGCCTGAAGAGTTTGTAATACAATTTTTATTTTGTTTTGTAGTGTTAAGAATTTTTGTTTGGTTTTAGTCCTGACTTTGAGTCACTTTGTAAAACAGTATTGTTACTGAAATTCGCTCATGAATATAGACCTTATTTTTTATTTATTTATTTATATATTTATTTATTTAAGGCTAAGATGCTAGTGTCAGGAATATCCTAGATGCAGATTGAAATTCCTATAAAAAACTGGAAAACACTAAACATTAGGTCTTATTAGAAACAATGCAAAGTTATATACGATATTACATTGCAGAACGTAACAGGTACACAATAAAACAAGGATATTAAATTGTAAAACACAATATTACAAGCAGTAGACAAGATATTTAGGTTACCTTTCATTCCAGAGACAGAAATGAGAAAAGAAGCTTTATCTTATACAGTTTATCTTCGTTCGTTTCCGACAACTTCTTTTGACATTTGTTACATTTAAGATATTAAATATTTTGCTATAAAATAGATTGACTTTTGTAATACTTTTATAGTTAAAAGGAAAGAACAACTTGTTATCTTATAGTCTAATTGAAACACCAGATACTATGAAGTTTTTAACAATCAAATTCGTTTTGTTCTCACTACATTACAATGTCAAAGAGATACAAACCAAAGGGTATACCATCCTGATAAAACCATTGACTGTGTACTTACAGGACTTATTTTACCATCCCCACTAGGTGGGTGAGGTTAGTGAGGGGGGGGGGCAGTAAGGATCCAAGCCACAAAGTGGTGATTTCAACTGAAGCCTCAAAGCAAAAGGCGTTCGCTAACCACCATACCAGATATGACCTACTTATGCAGTATAAGTCTTATCCAAATACTGATTTAAATATATATATATATATATATATATATATATATATTTATTTATAGCAACGAGAGGATCGATGCGCAAATTGCACTTTTTTATAGGCTCCAAAACTTGTTTCCAAGGCAAAATGGATCCAGTGCAATACCTATTTACCTTTCCAAGAAGTTTATTTGGAACAGTTATTATGTAAATAGCACTACTAATAAAAAAAATTTCTTTTGGATCAATACTATAAAGAGTGATTTTCCTAGCCCAATTAGACTACATTTGTTAAAAAGGTAGGATGAAACCCCTTTGCAATACTATTTAATAATCAGTTTAGTCCCTTGTTTAGAACATGCCTGTGGTTAAACTTCTAAACCCTTATAAATAAAGTTGGTCGTCAAGTCACTTGATCATTGAAAAATGGACTCTATAAATAAATTAATAGCAAGGGGGCGGGCGACACATAAAAAAATTACCTTTTTAATTACAAATCCCCTCTCCACTACATCATAAGCTTGTAAATGACACCTTAATCATAAAAGTCGGTTAAGTAGGACCGCTGGAAACAGGATGTCACAGAGAACCCCTTTATTGTATTCAGTATATTTTATTCGTAATTATAAAATTATTATTACGAACTTTTGCATCAATTTCAGAATTTTAACTTTCAATAAGGCCTTAATATTACTCCATCAATTTGTATATTATCAGTATACCATTTAGAGATATCCAAAATAAGTAACTGAAAACAACCAAATTAACACTTATTGGAGTTGTTCAACAGATTGTTTTTGTTTATCAAAGGTTTATTGCGGACACTTTCCATCACAATAGAAAAAAACAATTCCTAACGTTTCGGGATCAGGGATCTAAACCCGTCCTTAGGTGAAAAAACTTAACTGACACATTACTACTAACAATACACAAAAGCCCAACCTAAGTTGGAATACAATACGGAAAGTAGCATTCATATAATACATTCACTGTATACTCTCTGTAGTGTATACCAACTTATGTTGGGCTTTTGTTTATTGTTAGTTGTAATGTGTTACTTAAGTTTTTCACCTGAGGACGGGATCAGATTCCAGATCCCGAAACGTTGTGTACTGTTTTATACCATTCTGATGGAAAATGTCCGCAATCAACCTTTAAACAACATTAACTCACCATCACCAACAATGAACTTAAAACAAAGAGATTGTCTTTATAGTTCTAATACATCATTTAAAGAATGTTAAGGCATTTCAATAGCTTAGTTTTAGGTTCATGTAATACTTAAGTATTTTCTGTGCTTATGGGACGTGGAGTTATGATAAAATATATAGATACGTTGGATGGGAGAGGAGGACGTTTTCGATTGGATATTCCAAATGTCAGCAACGGACTTAACTCTAATGCTACATTGAGTCACTTTGCACCGCCTTTTGTGATAGAAGAAAGTAATTTACGGAGTGGTATGTTTATTTTACGTTGTGTCAATCAATGATAAGATAATCATGCAACATGTAATATTAAAGAACTTGTAATGAACCATTGATAGCCAAGTCCTGTCACACAGCTAGAAGCAACTGATAATTATTATCTTCAACTCTAGAATCAATTGAGAATTAAACGGCGTATTAAATGTTAACGGTCTGATAAGATATAATCCATCTATACCATTATAAAATTGAGGTGGGACCCGTCTGTCTGTCTATCTGGGCAGCTGTCACGACTAAAATACTAAACCGATAAAGCCAAAATTATGCACAAATATGGTCCCCATATCTAGGAATGTCATGGGCCTACTTACTTCCCTGAGTTCTCGGATTTTCAAAATTAAATATTAATATTGGCCTCCATGGAGGCATGAGAACACTCACAATGTTTAGCTTTTCGTTGACATTTCAATGTAAATAAGCAGAACTGCAAAATTGCTTATATACATTTTTTTATTTCTATATTATAACCGTAACACATGATTATTCATGAAACTCGAAGTTTAGTTCTTTGAATTGAGCATAAAGCTATGAAGGAATCGATATTTGCAACCTTTTCGTAACATAATTTTAATTGTATTTATTTTACTTCAAAAGCCACATGTAATTCCTGATATAATGTTTTATTTATCTGAATGTTAAAAAGATAAATTCATCAAACTATAAATACTAGAGGTCGTCCAGTGGTCGAAACTCGACCAAAAATATTTAATGTACAGACTTCTTTATTTTCATTCCACACTTTGAATAGAACATGTGATTGGAGTTTCTTCCATTTGTTTTGATTTTCTGTTTATATTTCGTTGTTATTTCGTCACCAGCATGGCAACTCATAATATCCATGTTAAATTTTTCAAAATTTTAAATTCATTTTTTGTGCTTATTTTTGAGCCTATTTTAATTTATAAAGGGATTCTGCACACCTACAGGAAAATAGCTTTCTAACAGTATGCGTAGATTTTCCCTACGATGCACACGAGCTGAGAAAAAAGGTTTTAAAGAAACATGCTTGCCTATTAATATATAGATAGATAATCAAAAACAATTAATTAGACAGATTTCACAATTTAAGGCAGTTATTAGTGTTTCACTTGTTCTTTAAACAAAATAGGTCTATATATGGTATTTAACGTATCCTAATGAGTCATTACTGTAGGTTGCTGACAATATAAAACACTCATTTTTGAAACTATTGAAGAATGATTCACAAAATATAGCTTTACTCTCGGAAAAAAACTATTTACAGTACACCAATTTTGATACGATAAAGAAAGTTCAATGGTGCTTGAAAACTTTGAACGTATTTAAATCATTATCTATAGTTAGTTAACGTCCAACCTTGTAAGCAAACTGATTGGCAATTACAATTCAACCAATCAGTTTCTTGTTTCCCTGTCAATTTCTTGTAGATCTGCTACGGTCTAATTAATTAAAAATATACTAGGGTGAGGAAATAAATTCCGCCAACGTAATCAGTAGTCCAGTTCCATATCCAACATTTCTACTACTTATCACAAAATGTTGTTTTCAATACAGACTCATAGCTATTTATGGTTCCTAAGTATCTCACATTCAAGTAATTCATAAAACCTGTGTGTAGTTTAAAATTACAAACTGGTTTTTAGATGTTTACATTTTTTTCTCTTTAAAAACATAAACACTTACCTGAAAGCTTTGGTGGAAGCATAACTAAATCGATAAATATCTGCACTTCAAGTCCTCCTATAAACGTTCCATGAACTAAAATAAATCCTAGAACGTCGTAACTACTTACAACAAATGCATAAAGGTTGTTTATGAAACAAGAAACGCGCTCCAACTAAAGCAGGTACACTTCATCCCCCCTTAAGTATTGCTTCACTAGCGCTAGGGGGTGTACAACGATCCTCCTCGAAACTATTGCCGCTAAACCCGAATCAACTTTAAACAGTATGTAACGTATTCTCAAGAAAAATGTGTGATATTTGATATTTTTACTAAATAGGGCAAAGATTAAGTACAATTTGTCCTAGTTGAATTACTACTAACTAGTAAAATAATAAAAAGTCTATTGAATCTTTGCCTTTAACACTGTATAGTTAAAAGATATATCATTTTTCTAAGGGAATTAATAAACACTAATTGTATAATAAACAGAGATTACCTGTATATAATCCTATAAAAAATTGGCAAGCATGTTTCTTGACAACATTTTTCTCAGCTCGTGTGCATCACAGGGAAAATCTACGCATACTGTTAGAAATATATTCTCCTGTAGATTTGGAGTATCTATTTATAATTTAAAATAAGTTGAAAAATAAGCAGAATAAACTGTATCAGCAATCAGACACATACTTTCTCCCTCAAGCTTGTCAACAACCTTTATCATGGGTAAGCGGTGGGAGTAACTATGATAATTTTGTAGGAAAAAATCAAAAAAGTTGCAATAACTTTTGAACCGAAATTGTTACAGTAATGGGGGTTGCATTATTTTATTTAGAACTAGCTGTCCCGACAGACGTCGTCCTGTCCTAATGTGGTTTTATGTCAAATGTTTGTTCATTTACAACATCCTGGTTCAAGTTCGTTCGCTACGCTCACTCACCTTTAGGTTGGAGCTCGTTCGCTGCTCTCACTTGCCTTCAGGTTAGCTCGTTCGCTACACTAACTCGCCTCCAGGTTGAAGTTCGTTCGCTACGCTCACTCACCTTTTGGTTGAAAATTAGCTGTTGTCATAAATTAGAAAAAAATAATCGTTCTGCACCCTGTTGGTAAACTTATTAACTTTTTAATGCTATTGAACGTCACAGAATCAAATTGCTTAGTTGAACCATGTTGAACCAGCTGTTAAGATTATTTAATTCCATTTAAATATGAGTACTCATAAGGTTAACATGGGAAACTCCAGAGCCACTGGGGCGGAGCCCTTTTGACGGATCTGCACCAAACTTCACACAAACCATCCTTGAATAATGCTTAATAATGCCTGAAAGTTTCATTACAATTTGTCGAGCGGTTTCGGAGTCCATAAAGGACAAACAAACATACATACAAACAAACATAAATTGGATTTAAGGACCATAACACATTAATTTTAATCAAAAGTGGAGTTTTTTCAAAATCCGATTTTTTGTAATTTTATGGGAAAATATAAAAATCTGACGCGATATAAAATACTAAAAAATTATCATAATCATTCGAGCCATTTTTGATATATCTTCTCAAAACTCAAACTCGAAAATGTTGACGAAAACAATACTTTCTCCATAGTATACTATGTATAGGGGAAGAAAGTAAAAATGAATTAAAATTTAAAAAATAACATAGGCCTAATGGGTTGCTTTGCTGGTGACGAAATAACAACGAAATATAAACAGAAAATCAATAGAAGAAATTCCAATGACATATTTTATATACAGCGTAGGATGAAAATAGAGAAGTCTGTACGTCATAGTTTCGGTCAAGTTTTCGACCAATGGACGGCCTATGATAATTTAATAATAAACAGTAAATTAACATGACAGTATTAAAACTGCTGGTTTTATTTACTGTTTATAAACAAACTTTTAACTTAATTTTACAGGCCGCGACGAGTGACATCCAATATTAGTTATAAACCAGTTCAGGGGAAATTCCACATCTTATGATGTCAAAACTATTCAATTATATAACCATATGGTGAGAAGTCAGAGTATAAATTGGACAGTTGTTGTCGGATTTGGTACTATTACTCCACATTTATTAACCCTAGTTGATGTTATTACAGGATGTTATAGGCACCAGTGCTGCCAACTTCCGATTGTAATAAATGAATCTACACTGTAGCTGATATTGGTTAGGTTAGTGTCACTGATATCGAATAATTAATTATTCCACACATACAATGAATCAATCCTTACCCAAGCACAGCAATGGATTATACATTTAAAATAAAACATTTATTTTGATTCTACTACAAAAACTCCACCAATAAATATTGAACCCTATTTTCATACAAGTAATTGCCACACCTTAGAGTAAATCGTTTGCCAAAAATGTGTTTTATGCGCCTAATGGCTTCGTAGAAAATTCACAAATACTGTAAATGTAATATTAACATGTTATTCTTATGGAGAAAATTGTAAATTGTTGTAGTTAGATTGTATTCAAAGCACTATTAGAGCAATGGAATTGTAAAATGACTAAGAATGTTTGCAGTTGGGTTCTTTCCTTTATTAATCTTCCAAGATTAACAATCTAGGTACTATTTTATTTTTTTAGACATAATTAGTTTTAATTGAGACCTAGACGTGTACATTACAACAGAAAACACGTTGAATACAATTTAATAAAACATTAAAATACACTGATTTCGCTACAGCTCTTTAACCAATAAAGATACAAAAAATATTAAGTACAAAAATTTTAGCTAATTTTAAGGGCTACAATGTGGTTTGTAATTAAACCCATGTTGCCGTTTGAAATTTTTGAGATAACAGCTTTTGAAACTTGAAAACGTTTGAAAATGCGTAACATAAGTAAAAAGATAGGAAAACGGTTGAAACCAGAATATTTTAATAGATCATTTAGCAAGTAAAGTGTTATAAAAATTTGAACCCCCACAAAATTCCACCTCTTTGCAGTGAAAAGTAGGTAAAAGGTCTATTTTTTCGTTTTTGAACGTAAAAAGGGATGAGAATAATTAAAATCTTTTTCCACTAAAATACTCAGTACTCAAGGACCTTTAAAATAAAAATAAGGTATAACACAACCCCCCTTTACATTTAAAAAATTTCACAAAAACCACCCCCACCCCCCCATAATCTGCCCTGAAGGTGATTTTTTGGGTTTGAAAATATTTTTTCTGAATACCTTGGGGTCAAAATTGGGGGTTTCAGTTGCAATTAGGTTTCCATTTTCTTTCATATTGGAGCTACAGAAGCCGGCCGGGTGGTATGAGACACCCTTATATTATGTTATATTATGTTGAGTAATATTTCTTGTCCTAATTATTATAGCCGTACAAATACGTACATGTCTCTGAGCTTACAGTTTTCCAGCTTACAGTATTTATTTTTATGTCGTGTGTAAATGTTGTTTGTCGTGTAATGTGTTATGAGAACGAAGCTATTCAAGCGGATCGATATATTCCTGTAATGAAGTGTTTGACAATGGCAGCTCGCCGAAACATGTAACACGTTTGACGAAGGTTACTTTTGGAACTGATAAAAGGTAATGTAAAACTAAATATTTTATATATTACAGTTTCGGGGCTACAACAATGAATTTTAAATAACTGTTCATAAAAAATATTTATTTGGCATGCATACAGAAAGTTTAATTGATATTATCTTTAAGCTTTCAGCTAACAACTGATTTTCAGATAGGTAGTTCTAAGCAAAATCATAGCCTCCTCTCATACAAGGTGGCTACGCCACGCCACAGACTGGCCTACCGAAACATCAGCTGTTGCAGTAATTTTTAAAGGAGTGTATCCTATATCAAGGCCTTACTAGAAAAACAGGCGATGCTGCAGAATCTATGACGTCACAGTAGTGGATAGATTCATTGATAGATTCACTGCCATATCCCATATTTTTAAGGTAAATAAGCTGGCTGTTTGTCAGATTTTAATGGTGAGATTTTTTTAATGGTAAGTTTAGAAGTGACGTAGTGCTGCGCTGCCCACGCTGCAGCATGGCCTATTTTCTAGTGGGACCTTGCCTATATGCAATGTTAACGTTTACAAATTTGTCATTCTTGTTATTACCATAGCAATAACCATACCTGTGCGACGTTGCCAGCGTTTAGAGGAGGCCATGGTAAAACGAACAGCTGTAAAATGTATCAATCATGCTATAAATATTAACCATAACATTTCAAAAGACCTTTTATAGTTCGTAAAATTTTGCACACAACATTAGGTGTATTAATAGTATGAGAACTATTTTACATTCAAAATTCAATATCTTCCAAACGATAGTCAAACAAAGGTTTGAATAAAAAAAAACATATAAACTCGATAAACATTAATTGCATTACGTACTTTTGAGGCAAGTCAACATAATTATGTTTTTCCAAGCACATCTATAACACAATACGCTTTAAGTGTTTGTAAAAATATTTCTAAATGAATCAACCCTAAAGTTAGTGAACGTTTTGATTAATGCAGCTAGTTTGACTGCCCTCCGTTAATTGCTTTCTAACAAGTTGAGTTGCAATTGATTTATTATTCCAAAACCGGTGATCGTGCTATAAGTTAAACTGTGTTACAGTGTTGTACAAATTTTGAACTTTATTAATATTTGTAAATAAGCTAAATATACTATATCAGTATTCAGAGATCAAATATTGAGATGGGCTAAAAATTGGGAATTTAATTTATTTTATTTCCCTAATCTTAATTTTTGATTTTAATGAAAAAGTCCACGGCTTTAATATTATGGAGCAGTATTAAAGTGTTATGGCATTTTAAAAAGGCTATCTTGTAATGCATAAGCATATTAGAAGTTTGGTTGAAAATATTAATTTCTTCAAAGTCAATGTAAAAATTCAGGTAAATCTGAAACCATCACCACCAATACAAATGTCTATATTCGGTTAACTGATAACAAAAAATCATACTACGGTAAAAACCTCGCTTGTCTTAAACAAGAATCAGAATCAGACTTACGGTACTTTATTTTTCTTAGTTTATAAATGATCACCCCTGTGTTCATGTATAAACCCCTATTGAATCCCTATTCAGGGACGCATCAAAACACATCGTGTCGCCATTACTTCGCTGAAACTCAATAACTGTCAAACTTCAT